ATCGAAATGGGGCATCATCAACAGTAAAAGGTCCCCATACATCAGCATGAATAAGAGAAAATGGACTATCAACAGATGAACAAGACAATTGGAAGGGAAGTCTATGACTTTTAGACACATAGCAGTCAGTACAAGCTATGGCTTTATTGAGACTATTTTTATTTGGAAGATGGGATGCCAAGTGCTGCAGCTTGACAGTTGAAGGATGCCCTAACCTTTTGTGCCACAGCAGATCAGAAACTGAAGCAGTAGAACCAGTGGAAGACTGAAAAACCTGTGGTTGCTTGGAACAGATGGAAGATGGTGGAGACATTTGATAAAGACCATGCACATTGTAGCCTTTATGCAGAACTTTATGTGTGTGTTTGTCCTGAATGATAAAAGAATCAGAATCAAAAATAACAAGACAGTTGTGATCCTTGGTTAATTGATGAACAGATAGAAGATTGGAAGATATAGAAGGAACATGTAAGAGATTGGAAAGAAGGAATGAAAAATGTGGTGTAGGAAGAATACCATTGCCAACATGTTGAATAGGCAAACCTGAGCCATTTCCAACTTGAACTTGATCTGATCCCTGATACTCTTGATATTGCTGAAAATTGGTCAAGTCATGTGTGAGATGATTTGTAGCGGCTGAATCAATATACCAAGGGGGTATAGTAGAGTCTGATGATGATGAAGGCACTGTTGCTGTATAGGCCTTTGGTGTAGTAGTGGTAGTAGATGGATAAGCATTATCATGTCTATACCAACAATCTAAAGCAATATGGCCTGATTTTCCACAGATCTGACACACAGATGCAGAAGTTCCAGAATATTCTGATTTAAAACGATTTCCAGAAGAATGTCGATTTGTTCTGTTTCCACCACGAAAATCACGAAAATTATTCTGAGATCTACCACCTCGGCTTCCTCTGTGCTGAGTTCTGCCTCTAAAATTATTGAAGCGAGGATTTGAACCAAAGTTGGAGGATGAAGCATCAAAAACAGAACCAGATGAAGAACCTTTTGTTACTGAATAGGCAACATGCAAGTCTTGATGAGATGAATGCTTGATTTTACTTTCAATATGAATTTCTTCTGATCCAAGGAGAGAACACAGTTCTTCCATAGACACTGAAGTAGATCGAGTTCGAATGGATGTTTTGAATGCATCATATTCTTCTGGTAAGCCATTTAATATGAGAAGAATTAAGTCTTCATCATCAACCTTAGCACCAGACAAAGCTAACTGATCTGAAATAGCTTTGATCTGTGACAGATAACTGTCAATTGAAAAAGACTGCTTCCGTATGGTGTGAAGTTTGTTCTTTAGCTGATGAATATGAGATCGAGAGACAGATGTAAATCTCTGTTCAAGTGCTTTCCAGACTTGTGAGCAAGTTTGTAGATGAAGAACAGAAGAATATACAGCAGGAGAAAGAGTTGCAATGAGACATGTGAGAAGATTTGCATCAATAGCCTCCCATTGAGCATATGCAGGATTAGGAATTGTTTTGCCAGAGGCATCAGTAATTTCTGATGAAGGACAAGGAATTGCTCCAGTGACATAGCCCAAAAAACCAGTGGCTCGAAGGATATTATGAAGTTGATTTCGCCATATAAGAAAATTGCTGACATCAAGTTTAACAGTGACAAGAGAACTAAAATTTGATAAGAGAGAAGTAAGATTAGATGGAAGAGAAACAGGATCAGCCATGGATGAATCTGCTCGTGAGAGCTCTCACAAGCTCTGATACCAAGTGAAAGATGAAAATTTATTTCATTACTTTCTGCACTCAACAATTACATTACGGTAGAGATTATATATTTATAACGAACTAACACTAACTAACTAATTCACTAACAAACACTTCTAACTACTTAACAAACTAACAAACTTTACAACTGTTACAGAGATTATAATGAGGACTGTTATCAATACAGGACTGTGATAGACAACATATCAATGCTGAGTCTGAGGCAGGTGAGCTACTGCTGTGACTGATGCTTTGCTGTGACTGATGATACTTGGACTGAGGGATCTGTGGAAATGCAGAGTCAGTTGGAAATGCAGAGTCAGTTACAGATGAAAGCTTATCAGTTTTGAACTATAATAATAACATATTAATAAATCTTAAAAGCTTTTTGAGCCACATATTAATAATCATTTGTGCTACATGCACCAATTAGTATATTAATTACCACTCATTATGCACAAATATCAAAAAAAATTCAAATTGTATCACATCATCAATTAGTATACTAGTTAGTATACTAATTGATGCATGTAGTATTATTCATTAATAATAGGACTGAGGCCTCGTTTGGTATGCGAGTGTTTTTGCTTAAAAATCAAAAAGTTATTACAAAAATCAAAAAGCATATAACCTATACAAAAAAGTCAAAGATTTTATGTTCTTTTTACTTTTTGCACATTTTTTCGTAAATAATCAAAAAGTCATTTCAAGTATACTAGTTTTTTTACCTCATATTTTAACCAAAAAATTAAAAAATGACTAAAATATCATGTTTCCAAACGAGGCCTAATAATCCTTAAAAGTTTTTAAAATACAAAGGCTTATATTTCATTAAACCATTAAAACTATTAAGGATAGTATAAAAATATTCTTCATCAAAAAGAAAACAGATTCAGTTGAAAAATGAGGGTAGAGTAGAATACAAAATATTAATAGATATAGTTTTGGAGGCTTATCAAGAGTTTTTTAGAATCTATTTGATTAGAATAAAAAATACGTTGAAAAGTGGGCGATATAAAATGAAATGAAATGAAAATAAAATTTATTCCCAATAGTAAACATGTCATCTAGAACGATTGATGTCCACAAACGTATTTTTTTTTAGTTCAATTGAGTTCAATAGATATATAAAGCCTAACAAAGGCATACAATAGTCAGAGAAAAAATAACAAAACATGAGTCTTATAATAGAAAATAAATAAATAACACAACAAAACTTGAAAAAATTATCAATTTTTTATATTTAGTAAGAATTGATTCCATAATCTCCAATATAAAAGTGTTAAGGAGTGACTCAGTCTACTAGCTCAATTAATTTGTTAGAAAGGTCTCACTGTCTAATATTTATATATGAAAAATATAAAGAATTTACTTTTATAAATCTCGAATTTACTCTGAATATGTTTGTATGGCAAAAATTAAATTAATAAAAAATAAAATTTACATATGTAATAAATATGAGCTATTAATTTATTTATTTTTCTAAATAAACTATGAATTGATAAAGATAAATTTGTAATATTGTTGTTTATATATATTTTTAAAATTATTTTGTGTGATTAGATTTGTCCTGGATTTTGTGTATCTGAATTTGTATTTGCATGATTGAGTCTTGATTGGTCCAATGTTCAACTTGACGACGTGGATGAGGCTCTATTATCATTAGCGGGAGGTTAACGGCATGCACAGTACAAAGCCTGCTCATTACAAGTCAACCCCATTTTTAGGATAGTTGGTTTGGGGGAGTGGATTGACCCTTTAATTTTTTAATTATTTTAGTCTCTGTTTAAAAAGTGGGTTGATTTTTTAATTTTTTAATTATTTTAGTCTGACATTAAAAAGTTTGATTTAGAAAGAATTTTTTGATTTTTTGATTTTTTTGTGAAAAATGAGTGTAATGATTATGGGTTGGATTTGACGTTTTGTTTTTTGTGGCTAAAATAGTCTATTTTATTTTTTGTGACTATTTTAGCCCCTAACCCACTAAAACCAACTTCCCAAACTATACCTTAGCCTCCGTTTGGGAAGTGGGTTGGCTTTTTGGCTTTTTAGCTTTTTGACTTTTTTGGCTATTTTAGCCTGGGCTAAAAAGCTTGGTTTGGGAATGACTTTTTGGCTTTTTGACTTTTTTGACTTTTTTTGTGAGAGAAGAATGTAATGATTATAGGTTGGATGTGATGTTTTGTTTGTTATGGCTAAAATAGCCTATTTTGTTTTTTGTGGCTAAAATAGCCAAAAAAACCTGAAAAAGCCCTTGCCAAACACAGGCTTAGTATGAAATTAAAAAATTTCTTTTGGAGTTTCATTTGAGAATTTTTTTTTAGTTTTTTTGATTTTTTATGAGAGAAATAATGTAATGATTATGAGTTGGATATGTTATTTTGTCTTATTAAATTAAAAAATTTATTTTATCTTTTTGTGACTAAAATGGTTCTAAACCCAACCCAACCGTTCTTTCCAAATGAAGCCATAATGCTTTGTTAATGAAACTAGGATAACTATACATTACAATAAAAAATAAAAAATAAAAAACCGATGGTTAAATGCGTGATATTACTTGGCCTTTTGGGATGTGGATTAATTTTTTTAATTTTTGACTATTTTAGTGCACGGATAAAAAAATCTCCTTTATGATGAATTTTTTGATTTTTTAAAATTTTTATGAGAAAAAAATAAAATGATTATAATATGGATGTGACATTTTATCTTATTAACTTTTTAATATATTTTATTTTTTTGACTAAAATAGTAAAAAAAACTCATGCCATATATTTCCAAACGGTCCATTAATAAGACAAAACTAGGTATTCTAAACGTGGGAGCCGCCTGTCATTATTTCAACTTAGAAAATGCGTTGGACCCCAGTGGGGGTGCTGGGGTCCTTGCTGATTGGCTGGAAAGTATTTTTTTTTTTTTTGACTTCAACCATTGACAATGTAGCATGTGACGCTGAGAGTGCTAGGGTGCCCAGTCACTAGGAGTCCGAAGACGAAAATGAAATTAAATTATATATATATATATATATTTTTTAAATATAATTTAAAAAGATATAAATAAATAATATATATTTTTTAATTTTATTTTATATATTTTATTTTTAAATTTTTCTTTAAATTTTCTAACTAAATACAATTCAAAAGAATTCAAGCCCACACACACTACACTATGACTATACTACACTGCACTACACCTCTGTGTTGTCTCATTTAAATTCTCATGTCCAAACCCGTGCACTATAAATACACACTTTCATTACACTCTCTCACCCCCTTCTTCATTTCATTTCTTTCCTCTTCTTCTCCCACCCCACCACCACCATATATATGTATCATTCCATTTCTCTCTCTCTCCCCCTACTGTACTACTACTAAAAGGTTTCCCGCCAAATTCCTCCCTCTCATCTGCCACAGCCTTTACCATTCCAACTACTACATATATTATTATACCACTTTCTCCACTCTCTGCTCCTTACTCCCTCCTTCTCTCTCTAAGAATTTCTTCTCTGATCTGAGTGGTCTAGAGTTTCTCTCTCTACGCTCCCTGTTAATCATTTCCCTCTAAACACAAGAATTTTTCTGGGTTTCCACTTTCGCATGCTTTTTTTTGCCTGACAATCCATCAGATTCCTTCCGATCTCCACTCCTCTACATCTAGCTTCAGTCCCAGGAGGGAAGGTCTCGTCCTTCACCTCCAACATGTCTACTCGCTCGATCACGAAATTCTCAGAGCATGTTGTTACAGAGACTAGGTCCATCCACGGTCACATCTCCACGACTTCCGGCGTTTCCTCTCCAGTTTTCCGGCCAAAAGTCGTGAGAATCATACTGACCGACGCCGACGCCACTGACTCTTCCAGTGACGACGAACCACAGGTCGTGAAGAGAGTGAAGAGACACATCAGAGAGATCAATTTCAAGCAATCGCCTAAATCAGTGGCCAATCCAAGCAGTAAGAAGCGAAGCCACAGGACTATACGGTCGCCGGAATCTGACGTCACTCGCCGGAAAAAGTTCCGCGGCGTCCGCCAGAGGCCGTGGGGGCGTTGGGCCGCGGAGATCCGAGACCCGACCCGGAGAAAGCGGGTCTGGCTCGGGACTTTTGATACGCCTGAGGAAGCCGCCACGGTGTACGACCGAGCTGCCGTCACGTTGAAGGGTCCTGACGCCGTTACGAACTTCCCCAAGGAGCCTGTAACGGAGACGGCGGTTGACGTTAAAACGGACGGCGAAGGGTTGCTTAAGGTAGCAGCAGCCTCGTCCCCCACGTCAGTACTCCGTCACGAGGAGTTCACGCCGTTCGATGACTTCAGTTATGGTGACGTCGACGTTTTCGGGTTCGGGTTCGGATTCGGATTCGACACGGACATCCCGTTAAGTCTGCCCGATTTCGCGTTATCGGACGATTTCGTCGGGGATGACTTCCTCGGCGATAAGTTTAACGTTGACGATTTCCTCGTTGATGGGGTCGTTTGCTAATCCATTGCACGATTTCAAGTCACGATATGGTTTTGGAGCTGAGTGGTAATTTTGAGAACATACAGGGGCTGTTAGTAATTTAAAAGTAATCATTCTTAAGATATTTCGAAGTGAGTGTTGTATAGAATTTGTAAGTGAGCCGATTTTGTCTAATGTGAGAGTGGGATATTGACGTAGAATGTATTTGTTTATTGGTAATTATTATTAATATATTTGTTGTGTATTGCTTCTCGGAGAGAAAATGTGGGCGCGGGTCCGTTGCGACTACGGAATTTTCAATTCGTCATTCATCTGTCAGATCGATGGAATGGAGAAAATCAATCTGCATCTGTCCGTCAATTCGGCAGATGTGGATTTGGCGGATGGATGTGAATCGGTTTGGCGGTTTAAAATTTTATAAATTTTCAGCATAATTCAACTTATGCACTTCTTCAAAAAAAAAAAAGTATTACAGTTAATGATTTAAAAAAAATATTACAATCACTACATACCTCATCTAAAAAAGAAAATTTGAAATTTTAGAATATTACAATCACTACATGTCTCATCCACATAAAGTATTACAATATGTGGTTTTAAAAATATAAAAATAATTTAAATCACTAAAATCATGAATGGAGATTGTATGCTTTTGTATTGTTACATCTATATCTATTTTTGAAAACAAAAGTAAACCAGTATATATCATTTTTTTATTTATTATTTTCAAAGTTAGATTTAAAAACTAAAAAATATAGATAAATAATACATTTATTTTTTTAAATTGAAAACACAAATAGAATATCTAAACAAATTGAAAACACAAAATTTTACAAATTACTAGAGTTCTCACGGTTTGGCTATTCGGTTGCGGCCAAGGGAATCCTAAATCCGTCATCCGTCCAAAATTAGACGGATTTGGAAAAATCAATCCGCAACCGTCTGTTCGTCATCACGCATTCGTTCAAAATGCGACGGATCGGTTTGGTTCGATCAATTTGGGCGAATCAGTATATCTACTATTCACCCTTATTAAAAAATGTTCTATCAATTTTCAATTTTATTTTTTTTCGCACTTTTTTTCATGTTCTCCCAATTTAATTTTATCAAATTTTCTAACCAATGGTTTGAGTGAGGAAAATTATAAAATCACTCTTAAAAAATTACTTTAATATATGATTCAAATTTATTTAAAATATTGATACTATTATATAAGAGTTTAACTTTAATTACAAATTATTTTTTGTATATAATTTTATGCATGAATTTTCTTGTTTGTTATTTATAATTTGAACAATTTATAAATACACATTGCTTCTTGTAATTTTAGGAATTACAAATATTTCTTTATTAGAATATTTTATTTAACAAAATTAACAGAGAATGAAATTATTAACTACTCTCTTACACAACAACAAAATTACATAAATAGTTAATTAAAATATATTTATAATATCATTAAAAAGTTAGGGAAAAAAACACTAATAAATCCCAAGTTTAGATAGTTTGAACCATATAATCTTGCAATTTATTTTGTAAACTGAAAAATACTAAGTCAATGTTATTTACACTTAAGCTCACGAATGTAATGCGTGGGTTGGCTATTTGGAGAGGTAAATTGAGTGTTTAGGTGATATTGTAATTACCAAAACCCCCAAAAGTATACTATAGCAATTTTTTCCTTTTCCCTCCACTGCGAACAAAACGGAAGCTCACAAATTGGAACTTCAATGTTTTCTTGTCAACGTTGCAGTGTTGATCCTCGTTTTGTGTGAGTTGGACGCTGGATTTGGCAATGTTGAACCTAACATTTTCTATTCTCCAAATAACATTATAGAACCCTTTCAAAACTCTAGAAAATTCAAAAACCCCTTTAGCAATTTTACAGAGGTGAAGCGGCGTGGGCACTAAGACATTTAGAAATGCGATTAATGTTGTTGACATGACATCCATGATTTCACATCAATCCGTCAATGACAGCGTTGGTCGTGTATTGGTGTGATGACAACAAGTATGAGTGTCTTCGATGTTACTTTGGTTGTTTGTGGAACAATACGACATCAAGGTCGATGCTCGAAATGAGATGTTATTTAAATGGTGCGTAATGTGGGGTTTTAGGTGATGTTATTAAAATTGCGGTTTTAAGGGTTACCAGTGACACCAAATGTGATGTTGTGCATGTACGTAATGTGACAGACACATGGTGTTTTAGTTAATGTTTGTATGATTGGTTGGGTCTCGTGTAATGTTATTATTTTAGCAAGTGTGAGGGTTACTAGTGATTACAAATGTGATGTTGTGCATGCATATAATGTAATCGACTCATTATTTTTATTTAATGTTGTTATGATTGTTTGGATCTCTTGAAATGTTAGTATTGTTGGGGGTCAGTGGGAGGATAACATCAATAATGTAACAGCAAGTAGGTAACATCAACAATCCTCACAATCACTCTACAAAATTCCTAAAAGAATAAGAATGTTAAACCATACCTTACCCACGTACACCTAAATCCCAAAAAAATATCAAAACCAAATCTCAAATAAGGGCAAACAAGTAAATTTTAATATTACTAAATCAAATCAATAATACATACCACAAATAAAAAGAACTAATTGGTTTATACAAAAAATATGTAGGACTAAATAGACTAACATTTTTCCAAATAAGATTTATGAATAATTTTTCTTAAAAACTATTATATGAATTGATAATTTATTAATAAAATAAAATATTTATTACGTAATTAAAAACTTAAGTAGGTGAAATATAATTTTTTAAATTATAATAAATAACTCATATTTTAAATAAAATTTAGGGAGTAGAATTTACTTAGAAAAATTTAAGTGTACAAATTGAGACACAACCTGTCGCATGGGCTGGCCACCACCAAATGAACCGCAGTGGTGTTAAATGTACCAATTAATATATATATTAATGTATTAATTAATATTATAATATCATTAATGACCTTATTTATTATACAAATTATAAATATTTAAAATTTTTAAAATTATATCACATTATCTATTAATATATTAATATATACACTAATTAATATATGTAGCATTATTTAATAATCTGAGGTGACATATAGCTACTCTAGGTGCAACTCATTACCTTATGGAGCTAAACGTCAACATAGGCTGCTAGTATAGATGATTTTTTGTGAATGTGTGGATGCAAATTTGTTGAGTGATGATGGTTGGTTCTTGTCTCCCTCTCTTATTTTGGTTGTTTTTTAGTTGCGTGTGTTTTAGGGTATGTTAGTTTCACCTGGCCATTATATTGCGAGAGTTTAGGAGTTATTTGAGGTGTCCTAAATAAGTATATTTTTTGTCTTTTTAAATTAAAAAGTTGAGATTGAAAATATGAATGTTTTGATTAACTTTTTAACTTTTTATGAAGAAATGTGTATTAAAAAATTGTATAAATTAATATGTAGAGAAAAATTAGTATTGAGAGTTGTGCAATCGTAATTATTGACTTTTGATGAATAATGATGCTTTTTTAATTTTTTGAGTAATTTTTGACTTTTTAACTTTTTTAAGACTTTCCAAACTTGACCTTAATATTCCAATACTTTACTTTTTCTTCAAGACACAGACAGACACAGTACATGACTGAAAAATTCTTACAAAAAATTTCAGAATTTGGTCTTAGTAACGAAATAAATTTGAAAATTGAAATTTATCAATTTGAACTTTAATTTTTAAATTTATTTTCTGTAAAAAAGCATTTTGTGTTATTCGCACAGTTAGTGTTTTTTTTTTTTTTTTTTTTTTTTTTGTGTTTTTTTTTTTTTGGTGGCCTGAAGAACACGTATTAGCAAGACCTAACAAATAACTTAAATTAATTGTACATTCTTTATATGAGTAAATGCGATAAAAATTGTATAATTATTTTAAATTTTTTTATTAATCAATACTTTTAGGACACTTGTTAATAATATTAGGGGTTGTTTGGAGTGTCCTAAATAAGTGTACTTTTTGTCTTTTTAAACTAAAAAGTTAAAGGAAAAAATATGAATGTTTGGGTTAACTTTTTGACTTTTCATGACAAAATATGTAATAAAAAATTGTAAAAATTGGTTTGTAGAGAAAAATTAGGATTGAGAGTTGTGCAGCCGTAATTGTTGACTTTTAGTGAATAATATTAACTTTTTGAGTAACTTTTTTATTTTTTGACTTTTTTTGCATACCCCAAACTTGGCCTTATTGATTATTTTGCCCTTGCCCTTGGCTTTTGGCTTTGGCTTGCTTTTGATGTTTCAACTTCCCATTCATTCAATAATGTCCCTCACTTCACCACTGCTATGGTTACCCCCAACAATTTCATAACCCCACATCTAATCTTTGTTTGCCACATCGTTGGAGAGCTTAGGGGAGAAAAATTAGAGGGATAAAACATTTTTCACAAAAGAAAATCACATTTTAACCTTCTCTATTTGTTTAAAGAAATCATGCAATTAATCTCAGTAATTAAATGATATTTATTACAAGATAAATTTAATCTTTTTTTTTCCTACATTATACCCTACAATTATTTCCTGTATACGATAAGTTTTACGCGTACATATAAGATTTATTGTGTAAATCTATATAGAAGGTGAACAAATTAAAAATTCCATCCAATAACAGTAGTAACCCTTTAAACTCTGTCACATTCTTTTTGTGTTGACACGCCTTTAAAATTTAAATCCAAATTAACTTTTATAACTTTCTTAATTATTAAAAAAATAACACAAATTCTATGGAAATGGTAACATTGAGAAGGTGGGGCAAAGAGTTGAGACAAAAAAAGAAAAAGAAAAGAAGAATAGTGACTCTAAAACCAGGAAAAAAGACATGAGATTGACCAATCCAATAGTTGTAAAAGACCATGAAATTTCACATTATGTGAGAACCCTGTCCACGACGTAGGAAACCTTCTATTCTATGAGTAGGAAAATGAAAAAAAAAAAAAAAAAAGGTAAATTCTAAATACATTCTTTGGGATTTGCTTAAAATATAAATTGTCCCCCTGTGGTTTATAAAATTACAAATACCTCCTTATCAGAATTTTTTATTTAACAGAATTAATTGAAAAAATGAAATTTCTAACTATTCACTTATACAATAATAAAATTATTTAAATTATTAATTGAAATAAAAATTGAACATTATTAAAAATTGTTAATTAGTTTGATAATTTATTAATAAAATGACTTATTTGTTATGAAATTAGAAACCTTAGGAGACATAATGCAATTTCTAGAATCACA